TCTCTTCTTCTTTTCTTCTTCTTGCTTGGGTCCCCTCTCATGAGAAATGAGGGATCTATTTATAGATATTCTGGAGTGGCATACCTTGTATATAGATGTGAGATCATGCGGTAAATAGGGAGTGGTCGAATGGACGGTCGATATTGAATTCCTTGATCGTGCACTGTTCGTCAGACATTTGAAGGTCTTAATGATGTCGGAATTCAGCGATCTTAGGCTCGTTGGATTTGTCTCGTCGAGCCGCTCGATTCGATTATAAGAAAGTCATATTTGGAAACCGTTTGGTAACTCAAATTATGGTTTGAACTTTCCAACAACGCTTCGGGTACTTGATTTGGACTCATTTGGGCTCGGATTGAGTTGAATTTGGTGTCGTTGAGTTCGTATTTCCGAGACGCTTAACTTGACTATAAGTTTGCTGAAATTGGAGTTCAGGCGATCCCAAATTTAATTTTTAAAGTTTCCGGCTCGATTTTGCCTCGAGATTTGTGCCCGATCAAGATAATTTTCTGAGGATATATCAGTCCTCTTTTCAAGCATCTTCGAACATGATTGAAGCATTCTTTGAAGATAATAAATCATGATTTCAAGCACTTTGAAATATGATTTGGGAACGGTTTGAAGCATGATTCAAAGATGATCGATTATGGTTTCAAGCATCTTTATAAATGATGAATCATTATTTTATGCATCTTTGAAGATGATAGAAGTGTGGTTTGAAGCACGTACGTTTAAAGATTATCTATCATGATTTTAAGCATCTTCAAAGATGATATATCATAATCGAAGCTTCAAGGCCTAGAGTTTATAGCTGATAATGTGAATATGAATATGAATCAATAATTATTTCAATGATATTCCTAGCTACTAATATGATATCTTAGGCATTGTGACATCAAGATATATCTACAAACATCAAGATTTGGGGTTTATAATGTGACTAACTCCTACTTCTATCTTCTAATAAATAAATCAAACGAATAATATTAATGACAATCAAGATAGGTTGTTGCCATGAAATATTAACCGCACCAAAACATGCATGTTGGAAATAGAAAAAGAAGTTGGGAGATAATATGTCATAGAGCTTGTATGATCTAAAGAATGCATAGCACAGCTCATCTAAGGTTCTACCTATTTGTTTAAAAGTATGACTATTTTGCTTCGAACAAAATGTTCAAACATATATCCAAAAAAATGAAGCAGAAATCATATTTTACAATATGGGGAATATAAAGACCAAATTTTCTATATAAATATAGATAGTTAGATGTTATTTTTATAAATAGGCAAAATTATGCTACATATTTTTTTTTTCTTTTTTGGTTAGAACGTTCAATCCGTGTATTGATTAATTATATCAAAATTTTGTTTTAAGTTAAATGGTTATTAAAAAGAATTAGGGTCAAATGCTATGGTCATATTAATATTCTTCTTAACTATTTTTCTCTCTTGACATTTTGTGTTATTTATTTTCTTCTATTTATCGGTATTAACATTAAAATTTGATAAATAAATTATAAATTCAATAAATTTATATTATTAGTTATTTAAGTTTTTTTAATCATGATTGTTGGATAAATTTTAAATTGATTGTTGTTTATCTAACATAATCCTCTATTTTTCTCATTCAAGGATAATGATAATGTTAAAAGAATTTGGTTCTTAATAAAACATACTGAAGAAAAAAGATTTATATATCCATTCTGAATCACATAGTGGGATAAAAATATGTTATTTTTGTTGTAGTTAATTTTCTTAATGTATGCTGAAAAACATTTCAAAATGGTAGTTTCCTGAGGTCGGCCGTTCATTTTTATTTATTTTTGTATATATATATATATATATATGGTTTTTGAGTATAAATGTGCCTAGCTACTCTCTCGAGTCTCGAGAACTGATGAGGCCAATAAACTCACCAACTATTTTAATGACTTTGTTCTGGATAGAAGTCCATAATAAATACATTTGCTTCTTCTATTATTATATTAATGTCAAAAAATCTTGCATGCGCAATGTATATATTATATGTACAAAAATTTGTGATGATAGAGTATAAATTTTTATTTTGTAATAATATTGCATAAAGTGATAAGTTCACAAGAAATGTAAGAGCATTTTTTACTTGTAAAAGGCTAGAAAAAAATACAAGATTACATATGTTGCATCATGAAATATTCGTGACGGTAGAAAAGTATATAAGTTTAACATATTATGTTTGTAGGAAGATCCAGTATGTAATTAGATAAGAGAGAGAGGGTGCAATATTTAAAGAGACACTAAGATTTTTACGTGGTAAATCCTGAAAAGGGAAAAAAAAATCATGGGGCCTAGCCTAGTTTGAATGAATCCATTATTATTTGTAGTTGATTACAAATGAATCCCTTCCTTAGGGGGAAGGCATTGGCTTGATGTACATCATATGGAGTACATTATATGGTGGGAATATAAAGAATCACTATTGACGTGTTCGTTTAATCGGAAGAACCATAGTCGATGGGAGGTGGAGGTCGAAAGGATTGTTTGTCAAAGGACGATAGTGGTCAGAAAGATTGTTGTCGAAGGGTGACGGATGTTCGATGTCGGGTAAACATCCAACGACATGCATAAGTCCAACGACAGGCATAAGTTCGACGATAGATGGAAGTCATGATCGATGTCGGGTAGAAATCCAATGACGGCCAACGAACGGGCAGAATTCCAGCGTTAGTCGGCTGCTGGGTGAAAGTCCAACGGTTGTCCAAGAGGAGTCTCTTCCTTCTCTTCATTTTTATCTTGCTTCCTTGCTGAATTTCGGCGTCAGTTGTCCATCCAGCATAATTCAGGCGTCAGTCAGTTGCTGAGTCAAAGTTTGGCGATGGTCGAGGAGGAGTCTCTTCATTCTCTTTCTTTTCTTCCTTTTATTCTTGTTTAATTTAAGCGCCAGTTTGTGATCAGGCAGAACTCCAGCGTTGTTTGGCTGCCATGTGGAAGTCCGACGGTGGTTTAGGGAGTCTCTTCATTCTCTTCCTTTTCTTCCATCTCTTCTTGCTTGACCTTCTTCTTCCCCTCCCCCCTCCCCCGAAAGAGAAATTATTAGGTGCGGAGTGCAGAGTGCGTCTGGAGACCAATAAAAATGTGTCACGTCACCTCATTGGTAGGTATCCAGCTCGGTACCCGCACTCGGTACCACTGGGTATTGCTAGATACCCAGTGCTTGTGCTGACGGTTCTCCCGTCCGCACTCCGCACCTAATAATTGCTCCTTTGGGGTCCCCTTCTTTGAGAAATGAAGAATCTATTTATAGTTTTCTGAGAGTGGCATGACAAATAAATAGGAGGAAGATCAAAGGTAAATTGGGAGTGGTTTGAATGGACGACCGATGTTGAATCCCTTGATTGTTGACAGTTTATTGGGCATTTATATGCCTTAATGATATCAAAATTCAGCGATCTTAAGCTCGTTGGATTTTTCACATCGAGCCGCTCGATTCGACTAGAAGCATGTCTAGTTTGTAAACTGTTTGGTAATCCAAATTATAGTTTGAACCTTTCAAAAGAGCTTCTGGTCTTTGATTTGGACTCATTTGGGCTCGAATTGAGTCGAATTTGGTGCCGTTGGGTTCATATTTCCAAGATGTTCAGTTTGACTATAAGTTTGTTGAAATCGGAGTTCAGATAGTCTCCAATTTAATTTTTGAAGTTTCCAACTTGATTTTTGTATTGTGATTTGTGCTTGATCAAGATAACTTTTTGATGATATATCAACATTTTTTTTATGATATATCAATAGAAATTTATCATTCTCTCTTATGGAGAATGCGAGATTACTATTTTTTGGGTTACTAGCTTAGCCTTCTGTGATAGTGACGAAATGTAGGAGAAACAGTGAGAGAATGTCACGATAGTGTCAACTAACAACTTATTAAAACAGTTGGGCAATGATGGTCGGCAACGTCGAATGATGCCAGACAAAGACAATTAGGAGAGATCATCGAGCCATGATTAGAGTTGGTGTTGGAATATGATAGACCAATGATGGAATATCTCAATATTAGTTTCAAGGTTAGACATCGATATTATTTTATAATAGTGGTTGTGCGAATGTGATTATTGATAGTGATTGTTGACGTAGATCGTTAAATAAAGCTCTATGTTTCTTCGGATTTATGAGCTCTTTCCAACTTCAAGCTCCCTTCATAAGAAAATGAAGGCCTACTTACAATGATATTTTTGTTATTTTAACAAAATTTTCAAATGCTAGCTAGGTCGTTCTCTCTATTTTAATCCCCTTAATTACAAACTAATTTTTAGATACTTAGGTGCCTTAATGATATAGAATTTAAGTGGCATTGGGATCATTAAATTCCTCTCATTAGGAGGCCCTTTCTATTGTAAGAACACAAGATTTAAATATAATTTGATTCTTTGAACGAAATTATGAAGTTTCTAAGTATATTTTTGATTTCTTGATTGAGAATTTTGTAGACTTTGATCAAATCATTTTTATTTTATTAAATTTTTCTTATAAAATTATTCATTTTAACTATAAATCTATTGAAAATAAAGTTGAGATGGTCAAAAATTCAATCCTGAAAGATTCTGAGTTAAATACTGGGATCAAGTTTTGTGATTGATACGATAGAATTTTTTGATGAAGCTTTGGAAGCAATTCGTAATAGAAGTACATGCTAGGTAATAAATGCACTACAAAATAGGACTAAAAGTCAAATAGGCATTAGCTTTTCGGACAGAAAATAAATATGCATTCGGATCACATCTGAGACAGGTTAGGCGGACGTTTTCCTCCAAGCCTCACACCATTTTTTTTTAATTAATTAATTTATTTAGTTTATTTGTACGTTAACTCGGTCTTTATTTTCCCGATCGGACCGACTTGAAAGAGTCCGTAGACTTAATAGGAACGGTCCAAGTCGTCACAACCCAATCAACTGACTACAAACATGGATGCCACGCACAACGAATAACTCTATTTATATGCAAGAAACATCAATACACTCACAGAATCAAATCCTTCCCGACGATAAATCTTCTTCGCTCTCTAATAATTCCAGCTATGAGCGAATCAGCCGGAGCGACGCCGCCGTCGACGATTGCCTCCAAAAAATCAGCTGTCAAGAAGAAGAATAACAGCTTTAGCGGGTGCTTAAAAGCCCCGTTCCGCTTGCTTCGGCGCGCAAGGGATATCTATGTGAGGAGCCTTGGCGGCTGCGCTGGAGCAGGAGGAGGTGCGCGCGGTGGTGGGTTCGCGGCCGGCGTTGTGGCGTTGATGCCGCGAGCGAGAAGCCGGAGTGCGTTCGGGCAGTCGAACCGGTACGGTTCAGGAGAGGATGATTTTAGGGATCTGGTCCGGGCTAGTTCCAAGGGAAGCGCACCGGTGGGTGTGGTGACCAGGTCCCAAAGTGCGCCGGCTATTGAGAGGATAGAGGAGGAGGGGGGCGAGGAGGAGGTCTATGAGAGAAGTCAGAGCTGCGTGGTGCCGCCGCCGGCGGCTGGTGGGAGACTGGTTCGCCGTTAATTTTAATCGCGCTTCATGATCATTAGCCAACCAGCTAGCTGGCCGATCCCAACTGTTTGTTATGTGCAAAGCTTTTTGTTTTACTATTTCAACTCTGGGATTTAAGCTAGTCATAGTTGATCTTTCAGCTCCTCTTTTGCCAATCTTCAAATCTCTCTCTCTCTCTCTCTCCCTCAAAAGCAAATCACGCCTTGAACGCCGGTTCTTACTTTTTTTTTTTTTTTTTAAACGCCGGTTCTATTTCATTCCTTTAACAACACCCAGCTTAAAAGATATGAAGATTGGATAGCTTGTAAGTGTGTTTTTCTCATCAAGAAACTCAATTTGGATATAAGCATAAGAGATTAATCTGGATATCATTTGATCTTTCAATTAATATTTCAAAATTTCAATCATATATCAAGTGCTTGATTTGAGCTTATTTGATATCACATAGAATCGATTTTTATGCATTAATTTTGTCTCATTGAGATGTTTAGTAAAACTATAAGGCTTGATTTGAGACAATTTTTTTACTGTTTTTTTAAAATAGTTTTTTAGTATATAAATGTTTAGTTCAAAAAAATTTTTTGCTTAAAATTTACTTTAAAAAATAATAAAAATATACCCTAAATCAAACCTAAGATAGCTCAAATCAATGCTCAAATGGCTCAAAATTTAATTCATAAAGTTTTCAATTCTAATATACATCAAGATTCCAAGTTGATCAAGTGTTTTTTTTTTTAATGTTTCGCTTGCCCCTTGTTTTAAGACTTGAAAATTTGTATCAACAAAATTTATTATGAATTCAAAACATAGTTGTTTTCACACAAACAAATATGTGCAGTACACGTTCTTCACTTTATCAAATATATGCAATTGCTTTTATATTTTTTATTCTTGAAGATTTTTTGTGACAAAAAATTACAAGGTGTTGCTTCTCGGATTATTCATGAGGGTAGAGAAATATAAAGTTTAAAGTCTTAGTTTTGTATGAAGATCCAACATGCATACAGATAAAACGAGAGGATGCAGTATTAATAAGAAACACTAAGATTTTTACGCGGAAAATTCTAAAAAGGGGAAAAACTATGGGGCCTGACACAGTTGAAATGAATCAACTATTATTTGCAGTCGATTACAAAAGAGGCCCTTCCTTAGGAGAAGGCCTTGGCTTGATGTAATACATATACATCATGTAAAGTCCATTATTACATGATGGGACTTGAAAGAATCACTATTTATGTGTTTGGTTAATCGGCATAATTATAGTCGACAGGTGATGGAGGTTGAAAAAATCATTGTCTGGTGACGATGGTCGGAGGGATCATAGTTGGTGGGCGATAGTTGCCAGAAAAGATCGTTTTCCGGCAACAGAGGTCGGAAGGACCGTAGTCGGCGGGTGATAGTGGCACAAAGACCTTTGTCTAGTGAAGGAGGTCGGAAGGACCATAGTCGACTGGCACCAGAAGGAAGTTCGACGTTGGGTAGAAGTTCGACGAAAGTCAGCGACGGGCAGAAGTTCAGCATCGGGCGGAAGTTCGGTGTCGGATATTAGTCTGACGACTAGTACAAGTCCGACGACATGAAGAAGTCTAGCGACAATGGAAGTTCGGTCTCAGATAGAAGTCCGACAAAAGTTCGGCAATGTGCAGAAGTCCGATGTCATGTAGAAATCTAGCGATTAGCGGAAGTCCGGCGTCGGGTAGAAATTTGGTGATGGGTGATGGTTAGAAGTCCGGTGACGGGATGAAGTCCTATGTCGGTCGGTGGAGAGGAGGTGGTCGAGGTCCCGAGGAGGAGTCTAGTAGCAAGAGAACTCTTCCTTTTCTTCCTCAGCCCCTTTTCTCCTCCCCCCTCTATGGGGGCCTCCTTCTATGAAAAATGATAGGTCTATTTATAATTTTATGAGAGTGGCATGATCAGTAAATAAGAGGAAGACCAATTGTAATTTGGGAGTGATTTTAATGGATGGATGATGTGGATCTCTTGATCATAGATCATTTATTTGGTATTTGAATGTCTTAATAATATCAGAATTTGACGATCTTGAGCTCGTTGGATTTGTCTCATTGAGCCACTCGATTCAACTATAAGCATGTCACATTTGGTAACCGTTTGATAATCAAAATTATGGATTGAACCCTCCAAATGTGTTTCGAGTCTTTGATTTTCACTCATTTGAGCTCGAATTGAGTCAAATTTGGTGTTGTTGGATTCTTATTTTTGAGACGTTCAGTTTGACCATAAGTTTGTTGAAATCAAAGTTCGGATGATCTTGGATTTAATTTTTAAAATTTCCTACTTGATTTTGTTTCGAGATTAGATCAACCTAATTTTTTGATGATATATCACACCACTCTTTGGAGGCCATATATTTATTAAATTATCTTAAATTGTAACTTTATTATTCCTTACTGTCGATGTGTCAATTTGAGCAAAAGTCTAAATATTTTATTTTAAATACCTCAAATTTACTCAAAAATTAGTTTTAGAGGCCTATTTGACTCTAAAAATGTCACATTGAGATATCAAGAAATAATTTTGAGGACTACAAAGATATCAGAAAATGTCTGTATCAACTAAAAATTGGGCCCATAAGCTTGTTGGCAGTCAACTTAGTTGGTGGCAGTGCCGGCACCCATAAGTGCATGCATGTATGTATGTATAAGCACACGCTTTAGGCGCGTGACCATTGTGCAACTTTGGAGATTTATTTTTTAAAACATTTTTTTAAAAAAATATTTTGATGCATGGCCCAAAAACTTTTAAAAATATTTTAAAAAATTTTAAAAATATTTTCAAAATTTTTTTTCACCGTTTCCCCACATTAAGGAATAATAAAATTACAATTTAGTTTGCTTACTCTAATTTTGATGCATGACCAATTAATGTACATCATATATTTCCATTAAAACTAGGAGAGAGGCATGGTTCTCCTATGCTTACTCTGAATTTTCTCTGTGAGGGAGAAATATCTGGCATTTGTTTAAGGATTAGTGACAGTCAAGGACTTAATTCCATAAAATGAGCCTTTGATCTTCATTTGAAAAAATGTCAATTATCCTCATCGAATGGATTATATTTGGAGTCGATTAAGGCTTATAGTCTATGCTGTGAGGTTCTAAATCTTCTCTTGAAAAACTTGTTGATTATCCTCATTTGTTGGATTAGATTTAAGTATGATAAGATTTGCGGTCCGTATGGTGAAGCTCAAATTTTTTTGTTGAAAAATATATAAGCAATTCTCGTCTAATGGATCGAATTTGCGAAAAGACATTCTTTCAAATATTTAAAAACCTCATTTAGCACTCTAAGCCTATTTCGGGCCATTTTGACAATTCATGAATTTTGTTGTTGTTTTAAAAAAATTTTGTTGGGGGCATTAAACAAGCAAATTAAATTTTGGTATTTTTAATGTCACTGGTTGAAAGCTTCTAATTTTTATAATTAAATATTTTCAAATTATGGGCAAAAGCAACTCATCTTGATATATTAGGGAGCTTTGACTATCAATCAAAAAATCTCGAGTTCAAAGCATGCAAATTTGATGTATGTATGAGTTTATCTTAAATGCTCAAAATGTCCAAAAAAAAACATGGGAAAAATAATGCCTTGAAAAAGGTTCATCCCTTCCGTGAAGCACGAGGTCATAGACTACATCCAAATGCATAGATAAAAAAAATAATTTTTTGAATTTATCTTTTTAATATATTATTGCCAAGTACTTTTGGTGGTGAGAGAAGATCGAGCAATGTGATAATGGATGATAATATTGCATCCACTATTACTGATAATTGTCTTGTGTTTCTATGTAGAAAGTTTCATTTTACAAATGATCTTATAGATGTTGCTTTTTCAAAGTAAGATTGGGCATGTTTTCCTCTTGCAAGAAAAGTCCTAATGCCCTCACAATTTGGACAAAATTTTAAAAGGATTTTTACCTGCATAGTACTTAAAACTTCTTTATTTTCATATGTAACATCTAAAATCTTTAATTTATCCTACCCACACCTCAAACTTCTAATTCACTCATATCCCGCACCGTGTTTCATCTCTGTCACCCACGCGTGTGCCAATTCCCAATAGCTCGAACGATTTTCCTCAGTTGCTCGAACGGTAGTCTCCTTCGGCCTATTCTCTATAGATTTCCTATGTGAAAACACGCATTCTTGTCATGAAAACTCCTCAATGGTCGTTCTATTGCTGCCGTGAGTCTCCGCTAATGCCCAACTTTCTTTCTTTTATTTCTTGCAATGATATATGTGTATAATGGTCCTTTTCTCCCATTTTGTTTGTAGATTTTTGATTTTAAGTGGTAGTTATGGTGAATGATGGTGAATATATTGGGTTACATATAAATTTGGGGAATATTAAAGTGAAGTCAAAGGTGAATAAATAAGAAGATATACAGGTGAAAATCG